TTTGTCTCTAATTGTTAATACAGAGAATAATAGTAGTTGATGACAGATAAAAAAAATAGCATATATAAACCTAACCTGACGAACGCTGTCCATTAATCAATTGCTTGGAATTTGCATTATTAGTAGGAGTATCTCACTTCCAATGCATAGGATTACTCCAATATTCACGCCCGAACGCGAAATGTCCTAATTCAGTTACTGTATTCCTCCCTTTCGTGACACCTCACAATTCTACTGCGTAGTATACTTCTACTAGAAAATAAACTCATGCATGTGTTTTCTAAAAACGATTTAAATGCAATAAGAATATTAATGGAATTCTCATTTTGTCAATTCGTAGTCATTCGACAATGAATAAGGGAGAGATATGGGAAAAGTTAGTCAGGCGCGTCTTGTTCGTGTGGTCGCCGTCCAGGCTCCAGAGGAAATTTCTTTCAGCCTCGAACTCTGTCATGTGTGTTGATCCTAATCTCCTTGATCTTGCCGTTGCTTGCCTTCAACTCGTCTCTAGCCAGCCAAAAGTAAAGAAGAAGTCCACGATGTTGTGCAATCTGCAACGTACGCCGGCTATGAAACCAAGTAAACAGAGACCCTGTGCTGCGCGATGGTGATTTGCCTTAAGATTTAAATAAATAGAATCAAGATAGGAGGAATGATTACGACCTTTTATATATGAAAAACATATATACATACCAGAATGCAAGGCGAAGGAGAGGCGTACGCGGCCGCTCGGCTGCCGCAGAATAGCTATTGGCCCCGATGAGACTTGTGGCCGTCGGTAACAAGTACAGCTTTATTAATAACTTGACTTTATTAATAACTAGCAAATATATCCGTACGTTACAGAAAAAAATATTAAATATTCACAGAAAACGGTGACAGCGGCGATACTATCTATTTTTGTTTCATCATTTCTATAAAATTTAAAAGTTATAATTTATTTATTTATAATATAATGACCATGACATTCACAATAAAAATTTAATTGGTAATAATATGACAATGTCCTATTAAGCCTATATTGAATTAAAATGCAACCTTGATATTTTTTTTCTCAAGTTGCAAAGCACAAAAATATTTAGGATATAAATATATCATAACTTTAATTCTTATTTGCTATAGTTAAAATATGGGAGTTCTATGACCTTTTTTGAGGATGTATAAAGATCTCTGATCAAAGTCTCAAAGAGCTAGTTCTTGAGGTGAAGAATTTGTCTCTAGACTTAGACTGGATTAGACAATAAAGTGTTGTTTGATAGTTGGACCATCGGTTGATCTACTAAAACATATAAGTCTATCTATTTTAATAATTGGTGAAAAACTTTATTTCTTAGACAAAATCAATAGTTTAAAATACCATGATGATACATATTATTTGCTTTTGATGTTTACTGGATATATGCCCGTGTGTTGCATGGAGGCACAATTTTTAGAACTACGCGCTCGTGCCGTCGAAGGCCACAGCAACGGCTAGCCACATACGGACCACCATGTCGCGGAGGTTGTCCGTATCCGGGGACGCGAGGTTGCTGCCGGCAGCGCCACAGCCTTCCTGATGAGTTTTGTCCAGTGCTCGCCGAAATCACTATCTTCACAAGTAAGCAAGTGACTTCACATGTAAGAAAATGTTTTGGACAATCACATTGCATGAAATTGAAAAGAGTGGCAATCAACAGTAGGAGGCGTACGACAGTGTCCCGTGGGGCACGTCGTAGATGGTCACGTTTTATATATGATGTTTGTTTCGAGGTTGTGTTTCAGATCCGGTGAGTCAGGCCTTTTCTGTTCTGGTAGAGATCGATACCTTTCTCCGATGCGTGCGTGTGCTGGATTTGTAGTTGTATTCTGATGTGTCTCTCCCCGCACCGTGTGTTCCCCGTTTTATGACCCTGAAGTGTGGAAGTGTGGAACGTATTCTGATGTGTCGCTGCACCGTGTGTTCCTCGCTCTCGCTGCCCACCGTGTCGGTCTTCGCTCATATCTCGTCACACAAGACAAAATCTCATGTACACGTGTATTACCCATGATTCCCTAACAAACACGACATGCATGTCTCATGTACACGTGTATTACCTTTCCATCTTTGCATTGATTCCCAAACAAACACGCGGCATGCACTTTCGTCTCAAAAAAAAACACGGCATGCATGTATTATTGATTCTCTAACAAACACGGCATGCATGTATTGTAGATCAGAATCCGAGTCAACTCAGCGCCAGCGGCAGAGCCACACGTGCGGCCAGCGCGGCCATCATGGCGCCAGCACCCTGCCCCCGCCGTCCTGTATCTCCTCTCGCCGCGGCCGCCGCGGCCGCGGACCCCGCCGAGCGGGAGACACTGCTCCGCGTCATGGAGTCTGGGGGTGCCGCCCAACCCGACGTGCAAGGACACGGCGACGTTCCCGGCCGGTGGTGCAGAAGCTGGACCTCAGCTCCAACAACCTCACCGGCGGCGTCCTGTCCGGCCTCACCCCAGTGCCGGTGCTAGAATTTTGATCATGAAGCCATCTAGACCACATATAAAATCTTATAATATATATGTGCTAATTTTTGTTGCAAAACGAAAACAAATCTAGTGATATATTTTTAATTTAACATGTTTGATAGTTATCGAGAAACAGTGTAAACTAAAACAGCCCAGAAGTGGCATGTAAACTCCATTTCTCTCAAAATGTAAATATCTTGTAAACATTATCACGGGCCACGAGGGCCAAATAAAATTCAGGTGGCGAAAACTCGCCCGGTGATCATAAAAAAAGTAAACTAAAACAATAATATATTTGTACTTTTAAAACTAATATGATTACCACCATGAAGAATAAAACTTCATAATATCCATTGTTTCTCATAAAAAGATACTTCTTCGGGTACTTCTTGATGCAAAATCATCAAGGACGGTATTGAGATCAATAGTGTCCACTTATGTATAGCACCTTTCTAAGATTCAATAAATTGATCTTCTAGTTTTTTCCGTTTTCTTTTCTGAGATCCCGACAAATATTTCTTAGATAATATTCTAAGATTCTAACATTTAAATTAAAACAAAAACATGACTATATGAGTAGGAGTACTAGAAATCTGAAATAATTAATTTAGATTAAAAAACGATCATGGTAAAAAAATACCTAGGTGCTAGGGCCTGATCGGCTGATGAACTGATGAAGTGATGATTGATAAACTGATGATCGGCTGATCCGCCTAATCGCGTCGTCGTCGAGTCAAGCCTGTGAGTGCGCCAATTCCGTGTTTCCATCTCTCCGCGGTGGTCAACGGCGACGCGGCGTGCTCCGTCTCTGACTCTCCGTGACTCCCTGAGATCGTGACCCTTTATCCTAGGCACTCGCGTACGTAGTAGACTCGCGGACCAGGGAAGCAAGCGCTCGGTGCTATGATCCTGAACATCTCGGGCTGTCTATCAAGTGCCATCGAATTATAAGGCTAGGGTCTACAGTATACTAGGTAGGTCTAGACCCCTCCCTCCCCTGGACCCTTGATCGTCGCTCCTCTGGCACCTCTCCAGGGCCGGCACTGCCTCACCCGCGTGAGGGCTCTCACGTTCCTGGCGCTCAGCAACACCAGGCTGCGCAGCTGGCTCCCACGTTCCTGGCGTGGCTTCTGGTTTTCCGAATCGGCATAGGAGGATTTGTGACGCGCGCACGAAAAGTTTTTTTTTATGAAAGTGATTGGTATTTTTTAAGTGGTATATATATATATATATAATATAATAACAGATGAGAAAAAAGAAAAAAAAAACCACCGGTCCGAACGACGACAAAAAAAAGTGGACACGAAATATAAACCTAAAACAATAAAAACAAAAAACATGGAAACAATCTCAAAACACACACAAAAGGACTAATAAAAAACCAAAAAACAGAGAACGAAACGGACTAAAAAACACGAAAGGACTAAAAAACCAGGGCCAATAGTCCGCGAGCGTTCATTCAGTTCCGCATCGAGCGATCAAAGATCCGACACCCATCACTTTTCGTGTAAGGAAAAAATTCATTGCCGCATACCTTCACTTTTCACGTAGTCTGGCGCATGCGCATTCTGGCTATGATGTAAGCCTGATGCAAGGTTGAAAAAAAACAAAACATTTATTTTAAATTGCTATAACTTCTGAACGGTGTATTTATTTCTAATTTCGTTTGCACCGGGGTGTTGTACGCGATGAGACGAACAGAACTAGACTCCGCTCGCATATGTTTCGAAGAATTTCATTCTAGAACAATTTATGTATAGTAACTTATAATATATAACTTATATCATATAACTTATGCGAAAAACTTGGAAACACAAGAGTTATCAAATATAACTTATTTACAACAAGATTAGAGGAGTTTTCAACAAGAAAATCATGATTTAGCCTCAGGCTGTGAAAACCTGTTTAGCCAGTTTCTGCGGAATGTAATGAAATCTTTCTAGGAGAGTGATTTCTTTATCCGACTCCAAAATTGGACAATCTATATATGTTTTTTTACTATCTCGATGAGTGGAACGCAATGGTGAAGTCCATTCTTCAATTTGAATAAGTTTCCAAAACCGGCTAAGCTGGTTTTTGCTGGATGATTTTGTGAAAGTTGTATTTTGTTTGTCTGGACTCCAAATTGGATATTCCATATATGTTTTTTTATCAAAGTATACAGAAACTATAAACATTTATGATATAAAAATAAGTAACACTAAATTAATTACGGAATATATTTTCATAGTGAACCTAGTTGACTACAAATTTGATTAAACTTAAACGAATTTGACTTGTACAAATCTCATAATTTTTTTTTGAGACGGAGGGAGTACTAACTAGACAGCTGAAATATACAGAAGATGACATGCACTTCGTATTATTAACACTTAACTTTCTGGCTTTTTTTTTTAAAAGACCAAAGACCAAATAAAACTACCACAGCGTAGAGTTCTCATCCAAAAGTTTCATACATACATAGGCAATAGCAAAGTACTGAAATAGTACAGTAATAACCTGTCTACAATTCATGCTCATTTCCTTCCTCTAGGTGTGAGGTACACATGCAATGGGTAAAGACTGTTGGTTGTAAGATGGATGGTGTCAGCCTTGTCCTCGTCACCTTCCTTGAGCCTCCAGGTAAACTCTTGCACAAACCTGGCGATGGCTGTGCACGTGATGTTCATCGCCTGCATGCTGCCAGCACAGACCCTCCTTCCTGCACCAAAGGCCATGGTCTTGTACATATCTGCAGCCTCAAACCTCCCGTCCAGAAACCTCTCTGGCTTCCATTCCTCAGGTTCGGCCCAATCGCTTTTGTTCATGTTGCATCCGTACAGATTGATGACCATCTAGCATATTTGTGAATTGTGTTAGAACTCACCTTCCAGCAGCCAACATTATATATGCAACACTTAGCTTGCTGTGAGTGGTCATTGTTGTGCTCACCTCAGTGCCGGCTGGAACTTCATAGCCAGCCAAGTTGGTATTCTCATGGACAAATCTTGGAGGCACTAATGGAACTGGAGAATGCCGCCTCAGGGTCTCATGGAACACCGCGTTCAAGTAGGGTAACTCGGGCAGGTGATCCTCGGTAACTGTCTTATTGCCGCAGACTTTTTGGATTTCTTGATAAAGGTATTCCTGATGTGCGAAAGAAATGCAGTTACCAAAGTAGTATAAGTAGTTAACAGTCTTTCTACAAGGTGAAAAACAAGCTTCAGTGCTTACCTGTTTTTCTGGGTGCTTCGCAATCTCATACATGGCCCACTCGGTCGTGACCAAAGTAGTATCAGCAGCTTCTATGACTTCCTCCCACACCAGCATTAGTAACTGTTCATCAGTCAGTGTATTCTCTGCCAGCAGGAAGTCCAGGTAGGATTTCCTAGTCTGCGTTGGAGTTTACTGATTTAAGAACTCAAGAATAACCTTTCTATATATTCTCTCTCTACAAAATTGTTGAAGTATGCCTTTGTGTTACCTCTCCACGTGCAATTCTTTGCTTTTGCTGATTGGTCAAGGCTTGCATCACTGTAGTTCTCCTAGCTTCCGTAGTCAGTACCCTTTCTTCAAAGCTCCTATTTGGAATCCAGCTGAGGTATGGGAAGAAATCCCTCCAGTCGACCTCAATTGCACACATCATCATGTCAGCCACAGTGGCCTGGTAAATTTCCTCCTTTGATATAACCTTCCCATACTCTTCCACGTAGACTGAACTCACATCCTCACCTAAAGCCTGAAATTGCAGCAGGCAATCTCAGAAACATAATAATAAACAAACCATCATTACATTCTATGATGTATACAGGCCAATGTGAAGTTCTTAAATCTTAAACGTGATATGCATGAAAGCTACTACTACCTCCTTTACATCGACAACAGTCATTTCTTTGCAAAAGTTTATATAAATTTGATGATGACAAATCCACAATATCATTTTCATGTGCTAAATCTTAATACTTTTATGTGTATTAGTGGGCAAAGTTTCTAAAGTTTGACCACAAGCTCTAGGATATCATCTATTTATGAACGAAGGTAATAAAAATTTATGGAGCAATCATGAACAACCACACTAAATGTAGACTTACCTGAATCAGGGATAAGCGAAATAATTCATGCTTGAAGACTTCCCGGAAGTTCAGAGGAGAATTTGGATCATCGGTCAACAATGTGTGGAAAGTGTTCAATGTGTTGTCAACCATCATGTTTCTTGTGTCCCTATATTGTTTCTGATGTTATGTGCAATAACAGCATTATTAGACCTCAGTCGTGATTGACAGTTATTACAATTGTATGATGTAAAAATTGTAACCTATACCTGGCCAGAACTACCCAGCGTGGATGTCATGACATAACGCTTAACCATTTTGTGGAAGTCACCATAGTCACTTGTAGCAACCATAGTTTTGTCATGGGTGAGCACCGACAATGCCTTAGATAGCTTTCGAGTAGATATTGATGAGAATTTTCAATCATTGCCTGGACAATGCCTTAGATAGCTTTCGAGTAGATATTGATGAGAATTTTTCAATCATTGCCTGTAAAATGTAGGACCAAAATAACTGTCATATTAGTTTTGGCAAATGTAAGAAGAAACAATATTACAACTACACTATAACTTTTATCCTGGTATTTCTATTAAGCAAAAAAGCTCATTCCATCACAAGAAAAATTATAGCCAGAATAACATCAGATTAGTTTTTAAAATAGGAAGAAGGCTATAGAGCTTATTTCAATGGATCAGTGACCTTTGAACCTTGGCGAAGACTATGGAAATCTTGGGCCCCGGCCAAATGCAAATTTTTTCTTTGGTTAGCTATCAGAAACAGATGTTGGACATCGGACAGACTTGCTAAGAGAGGACTGCCTCATCCGGATAAGTGCCCTCTTTGTGATCAAGAAGATGAGACAGTTCAGCACCTTCTAACATCTTGTGTGGTGGCTAGACAAGTATGGTTCAGAGTGCTCGCCCCCATGAACCTTGTTGAGACAGTCCTCCGACAACATGAGCGCAGTTTCGCTGATTGGTGGCATAAAACAATTAGAAGAGTATTGAAGGAGCACAAAAAAGGAGTGAATTCTCTGATCATGTTGGGTGCTTGGGTTATTTGGAAGCATAGGAATGCTTGTGTGTTCGAGGGTGCCTCTTCTTCAGTTAACTCAATACTGCGTGAGCTGAATGATGAGCACAGCCTTTGGTGCTAAGCTGGGGCCAAGAAGTTGCAGAACCTAGGTCTTAGCGGCACAATCTGAGTTAGCTTTGGTCTTGGCTGGTCATGTTGTTTTTTCCTTTCCTTTAGACCAGTGCCAGTGTGATGTAAACCCCCTCATACCTGATCCCTGTATGATTGGGGTTGATGTATGGGGATCTTTTTTTTCTCTCTCTATAATGCAAAGAAGCACAGCTCTCATGCGTTAAAAAAAAAGGAAGAAGGAAATCCATTTATACCAAATTTTTTCTCGAACATGCAAGAGAGCCGCTTATCAATATATTAAGAAGAAAAAAGGGGTTACCCACACACAAAACACTGTAGAACTAAAACTCGCGCGCCTAATAAAACTTTAAATACAAACCGGCACAAGGGCAAGGAGATAATACACACCTCGAACCCTAACCAAACTTCAAAACCTCAACTCCTCTAAATCTAGTGACATAACACTACTCAGAAAAGGGGAAATGCCATCGAAAACACACCGATTATGGAGATAGCCCAAGCACCTAGGATGATGACCGAATTTAAGCCTTTACGGACCTGGCCATCAAATCTATCATTAACAAAAGCCCATTATACCATCTAAACTATCTTAATTTTCCATTTAACCCCCATACAAAATGTTGACTCAATTTACTACCACAAATTATTCAAATTGGATCAGATCACGCCCTAATTTTTTTCTTTTTTATTGCTCCACATACAAGTTTAGTCTTGGTTTCAAATTTTGTGGGGATGAAAGATGACACTACACCCTATGTCAATAAAACAATTTAATATTTTTTCTTGATTATTTTCATCAGTTGGGAGAATTTGATGTTATGCTGATATTTTGAATAATGAGTCAAACATACAATGTCAGCATTCGATAAAAACACACAATGTCAGGGTTGTAAAATGGTCTTTCTTTTGTTAAAGATTTTGTTTCAGGATGCAAACAGAACTCTCATATCAGTGTTTGACTTAGGAGATCACCATTAGAAACTCGTAATGCAAATAAAAATACTAGAAGAGACAACATTAAAAGTGTGGAGTTTATTATGCAATAATCATGGTAACACCACTAAAGGTCCAATTGTCATCTGTTATCCGAACTTCATGAGAAAAAATATTGTATAGTAGCCAATCACAATGTTATTAGTTAAGGAACCACTATCCCGGAGCATAGGGTCGACTCCGCTCAGCCTTCGGGGTCATCCTCGTCAACAGTTCACCGCCAGCTCCCCTGCTATCCGAGGAGGCAGATTGATAACGACGATCTGCTCGCCTCCATCGATCGGGCTGGCCAGAATCTCGCCGACTGCCTCTCCCTCGCAGAATCGGCTCTGGCCATGGTTCGATGCCGATCGCCTTCCGAGGCCGACCCGGTGGAGGATAGGTTGGCCAAGGCTGAGGCCAGAATCATGGGTGAGATGCCTACCATAACTTTCTGTCTCTTCTTAACTTTGTCTTCAAGATCTTGATCATCCCTCCTTTGAATCTTTTAGATCTATCGGTTCAACTGGAAAGCCTCCGATCAGCTACGGAGCACGCGGCGGGATTCGTCAATGCCAGAGGCGCTGTTCCGGTGGTTCGCTTGCACAACATCCTGAACCGTGTCAGGGAGGTCGCTCTTCATGGCATTCGTCATGGTGCTGCCATGGCGTTGGCTGCTGCGCAAGCCCATTCTGGCCACAAGCTTCGGCTTCTTCCCCATGGTTTTCCAGCCACGGCACGCCTTGGGATCACGAGCGCCTAGTCGAGGATTTCTTCGACGTCACCAACTCTGTATCCCTTACTTCCCAGGCTGATGATATAGTAAACAAAGTGTTTTTGGCCTGTAGCTTGTAATAGGGGATATTAGCAAACAATTTCTTTGTCTTAAGTGATTTTTCCTTTGCTTTGTACTTCACGTTCCATACATCACTTTATATGTGTTTGCTTTGCTCTTATAGGCGATACATATTGTATCGGCTTTTCCCCCTTCGGGTTAATTTTTTGAACTAGATGCGACACCCTTCTGGTATCAGCTATTAGAACCGATGATCGAACTAATCGGCTGTCAAGTATTAATCCAAACGCTAGGATAATATTTCTTTAGATATTTTTCGTTAATTGCTCTACCAAACTCTTCTTCTCCCCCTAGCGTTTCCAGAACATAAGCATTGCCAAGCGCACAACGTTTAATCTGATAAGGTCCTTCTCAATTAGGCGATCATTTGTCGAACTCGCTGTCCTTTGACCCGATCAGCAATTTTACTTTCCAGACTAAGTCTCCTTAGAAAATTGCTTGCCCTTGACCTTTTTATTGTAATATTTTGCAATCCTCAGTTTATTGGCTTTGATATTCTCAAGAGCACGCAGCCGATGGCAACTCAAGTCCTCTAAGTCGTCTATCATAAGATTCTTGTAGACTTCGACTGACAAATCATTTTACAATGTGACACACCTCGATCCAGTTCGAATTTCCCAAGGAAGGACTGTATTATGACCATACACAAGTTCATAAGGCGATGTTTTAATTGATCCATGACATGCCATGCTATATGCCCATAATGCCTTATTAAGCGTTGAATGCCATTTCCTTGGCTACTCCTCAATCTTTTTTCTTGATCAGCTTAATCATAATCTAATTGGACGCTTCTGTCTGGCCATTAGCCTGAGCATAGTAAGGAGAAGAATTTAGTAGCTTAATTCCCATACTGGCAGCAAAATCTCCGAACTCTTCTGATGTGAACATTGTCCTTTGATCGGTAGTGATAGTTTGAGGAATCCCAAAACGATACACAATATGCTCCTTGACAAAATCAACCTTGTTCTTTAAGGTTACCGTCTTCAAAGGAATTGTCTCAACCCACTTAGTGAAGTAATACGTTGCTGCCAATATGAACTTATGTCCTTTACTTGAGGGTGGAAAAATCTGGCCAATTAAATCAATTCCCCAGCCTTCAAACGACCATGATTTGATTATTAGATTCATAGCCGATGCAGGCGATTTCTGGATATTACCAAAACATTGACAGTCCTGGCACCTCTTATAATATTCAAAACAGTCTTTCAATATTGTTGGCCAAAAATATCTAGTTCTACGAATAATTTATTTCATCTTATAAGCCGATTGATGAGCCCCACATATCCCTTCATGCACTTCGCTCATCAACACCTTAGCTTCCTCTTGATTTAAGCATTTGAGTAACACCCCATTGACTGTTTTGTAATATAGCTGATCATCTAGTAAAACATACTTAGTCGATTTATATCTTAGCTTTCTGGTAACTTTCTATGATGGATTCCTAAGGTAATCGGCTATTTCAACTCTCCAATCATTATTCGAGGTTTCACTACTCAAGACTTCTTGAAACACTCGATAACCTGATGCACTTTGAGCTAAATGATTAGCCTCTTGATTATGTGCTCTCGGAATATGTTGAAAAGAGACATGAGAAAATTTCTTGAGCAACCTTTGGCACTCATCATAATATCCCCTCAGAGTGTCTTCTCTACACTCATATAGGCCGATCAACTGATTAATAATTAACTGTGAATCTCCAAATACTTCAATTGCCTCAGCCTTTACTTCAAGAAGAAGTTGAAGCCCCCTTAAGAATAGCCTCATATTCCGCTTGGTTGTTGGTAATCATTGGTTCAGTTGAAAGAGCAAACTCGAAACTCGCCCCCCGAGGTGAAATAATAACAATACCAATGCCACCACCTTGCTTGCATGATGACCCATCAAAGAACAACGTCTAGGGTACCGGCTCCACATAGCCAACAATTGGCTTATAATGTTGGGTGACAAAATCAGCTATTACTTGTCCTTTGATTGCTTTAGCCAATTCGTACCTCAAGTCAAATTCTGACAATGTAAGAATCTACTTTCCCATTCTTTCATTTAATATTGGCATTGATAGCATGTGCTTGATCACATCAGTCTTGGAGACAACTGTACACTCAACTGACAACAAGTAATGTCATAACTTAGTGCAAGAGAAATATAAGTATAAGCATAACTTCTTGATGGGAGAATATCTTGTCTCTGGATCCAGAAGCCTCCTACTGAGATAGAAAATAACTCGCTCTTTCCCTTTAAACTCTTGCATCAGGGCTGATCTAATTATCTGGTTATCGGCCGATATGTACAACTTAAAAGGCTTACCTTGCTGAGGAGGGACCAGCACGGGCGGGCATTTCATATATTCTTTTATCTCCT